CCAGTTAATAAAGAACAATGTTAAATGGGTAAAGACAATATAATGAGATGGAAAAGACAAAGAATATTTATATTATATTAATACTTGTGTAATGCTATTATAAGAGAGTGAGTGATAGAAAATAATGTCTTAACAAAACAAAGACAAGCTAATTTATACTAAAGTTGCCCCGTAACTGCCCCAACGAGAATAGGGCGGGCGGTTAACCCCTTTCACCGAGTTCGTGGCCGTGGCCGAGGCCGAGGCTGGCCTTGGGTGTACGGGGCACCCCAGGCCGAAGGCTGATGCCGGGTCGAAGCCAGTCTTGGGTGCACCAGGCGCCCAAGGCCGAAGCGCCGAGCTCGGTTGCAGAGTCTGCTTCAGGTTGCTATCGCTTTTCTCCCTGAGTCGCTCCGAATCCAACCCCAATATATCCATCATTAGCTCGGTCATTTAGCCATCATTAGTTGTTTTACACTTTTATTTGTACCATTAGTGTCTGCATTGCATCTGTATTCTTACTTTTTCACCTTTATTTAATGATCATTTAGTTAATTTAATTATACCTTGTATAAAACATCCTGCTATTTTCTATTGAAAGAATATTATTGAGTCTCATTAGTCATAAATATTAATGCAAGTTTGTTTTCCATGTTAAGTGTATATTATGGAGCAAATCAGGGTTGCTTCTTAGTAGTGGTCTCCTTAGAATGGGTTTAGATTTTTATGATGGTATTTGTTTGGCGTGTGTATTGTAAGTTTTTAATTCTTTTTTAGTCGACGGCAGCAGGTAAGTTTTCATTTTAGTCTGATGTGCTTTTTTTTTTTTTTTTTTTTTCCTATAGGAGTGTGGTGTTTGGTAGTGGAGTGGAGCTGGTGCATGGTCGGGGAGGAATGTGGGGTTGTTAAATAATATCCTTATTTAATTGCTATTCAAATTTCGTGTTTCCCTTATTAATTCCTTTCATATTAATTAATATCTATATTTTCAAAATCATCACGTCCATCCAAATCTAAAATTAAATGGCTACCATTTATCCTTACGTTCTCATGTGAAAGCAAGCATATATATATATATATATATATATATATATATATATATATATATATATATATATATATATATATATATATATATAATCAATACAATAATTACAATATTTTTTTATCACGCGCTAATACCCTTGGTTACGAATTCTAACGTCATTAGAAAACACTTTAGTAAGATTATTTTATGTTTGATTTAATAGTAGTCTCTTAGAGCATCATCAACATTAATAGTTTTTGCGAGTGTGACTAGAAAAGAGAAGATGAGTAGGGAGAGAAAAAAAATTAAAGATTTACACGTTCGGGAGTTGCGCCTCACACGAGGCGTAACTGCTTGTTTCGTTATTGGTGGGGCTCACTGACAAAAACCAAGCTTCGATCCTTTAGATCAGATGAGATTTTTTTTACTGTACTCTCTCTCTATCTCCTTTCCCTATGTCTCAGGAGATAAGAATGACAGCTCAACATCAAGTGCAGCAACAGAATGAAGAAGACGCGCTTGGTAGACGTCTTTGGTAGACGCCTTTGGTAGACGCGTTTGATAGACGTCTTTGGTAGACACCTTTCGTAGACGCGCTTGGTAGACGTCTTTAGTAGACGCTTTTGGCAGTTATAACTGCTTCTTTCTTATCTCTGTACTCTGTATATAAGCTCATGTTGAGCTTCCTTTTTGGCAGTTAATCAATTCCCTTTTTTTCCTCTTTATCTTCAATCCTTCTGCTCCAACTTCACAACATGGTATCAGAGCTCCTGTGAGGAGTCTCCGTTTAGAAGAGGAACTACCATGGCAGCGTGGCCGTCAATCGGCAATCGGACAACTCCGATCGATAATACAACAGGAGGACCGGCGATTGGAAGTCCGGCGCCAACACCTGCTTCTCCAACTCTTCCGAGTGCGTCAAACACTACTGAGGTATCTCTCGATTCCCAAGCACAATCGAATCCGTATTTCATGCACGCCAATGAAAGTCCAGCCTTAGAGCTGGTATCCACACCATTAGAAGGCCCAAACTATCATCCTTGGGCTAGGGCTGTGTCTATGGCGCTGTCGTGCAAGAATAAGCTCGTTTTTGTGGACAGCACCATCACTAAACCTTCTAAAGATGATCGCAGATATCCCTATTGGGAGCGATGTAACAATATGGTTGTTACTTGGCTAGTTCGATCCTTATCACCGATGATCGGTCGGAGTGTCCTCTGGATCGACACAGCGTATGGAGTATGGAATGACCTAAGAAAGAGGTTCAGCCAACAGGATTTGTTTCGAATTGCGGAAATCAAATGCGAAATCTATCAGTCTAAGCAAGGAGATAGCTCCTTGAATGAGTATTTCACTCAACAGAAGTTATTGTGGGACGAACTACACATATTCAGACCGCTCATGTTTTGCAATTGTGGTAATAGGTGTGAATGTGGGAGGAAAATTGATGAGATCAATGATCAGATGGAGAAGGATAAACTGTCCATATTTTTTATTGGACTTCATGACAGATTTACAGGTGCAAGAAACCAAATTATGTTGATGAAGCCATTGCCGGAAGTCAGTGAAGCCTACTCCATGATAGCACAACAGGAGAGGCAGTTTAACATGGTTTCCACTGGTTTTGGCAGTCAATTGTCTCAATCTGGAGAAAATAGTGCAGCAGGGAGTATTTTTATGGCTAGCAGAACAAATAATGGACAACAGAATTATAAGAAGTTCACAGGAGGAAATAAGAAAGCCATATGCACCTTCTGTGGTTTCACAGGACACACAGAGGATAAGTGTTACAAGAAACATGGTTATCCACCCAGGTGGAAACCAAGACCAAAGAATCAAGGGCATGTGAATAATACTCAGGGGTCATTGGGGATTCAGCAGTCAAACTCTGATGGAGGTATATCCTTTACTCAAGATGACTTTAAGAAATTTCTGGAATTTGTGCAGGTCCAGAAGTCACATGGAGAGAAGGGATCTCCAATCAACAACACTCCTCTTGATCTGAATATACATGCTAATACTATCTCTGCTAATCAGATGGAAGGTACTAACTCTTCCCTTGAATATGCTAGCCACAATAAGAATGTATGGATATTAGACAGTGGTGCTACTCACCACATTGTGTGCCATATGGATCTATTAACCAGTCCCAGGAAAGTCCACAACATGCATGTCAGACTACCCAATGGACAACAAGTTGCCATTTCATGCATTGGAAATGTTCATTTATCTGATGAGTTCACTCTGCACAATGCTTTATATATTCATGGATTCTATTATAATTTGATTTCTGTGGGGGCTTTCATTAAGGGTTCCAATTGCACCATGAAGTTACATAATAACCAGTGCATAATACAGGATGTTGTCCATGGGAAGATGATTGGAAACGCTGAACTTCAGAATGGGCTGTACTATTTGGTTTTTCCTGCTAGTTTCATTTCTGTACACACTGTTAGTTCAAGTATGAATAAATGTGCTTTGTGGCATGATAGATTAGGGCATGCTTCCTATTCTAAGCTACAATGTTTGAATAAGGTGGATCCCACAATTTACATGAATAAAGATCTGGTTTGTGAGTCTTGTCATTTTGCTAAGCAAAAGAGAATGCCTTTCTGTTCTAGTGACTCTATTTCCGCTGCCTGCTTTGACTTGTTACATATGGATATTTGGGGACCCTACAGAGTTGCTTCTCTTCAGGGGCATCAATACTTTCTTACTATACTAGATGATCATAGTAGGGCAGTATGGGTCTACTTGATGAAGAGAAAGTCTGAAACTAGAGATCTGATTAGAAGTTTCTGCAGTATGGTTGAGATCCAGTTTGAGTCACATGTTAAGTGCATTAGAACAGACAATGGATTAGAATTTGATATGGCTGAGTTCTTTAACCAAAAAGGGATACTTCATCAGACTTCCTGTACCTACACCCCCACAACAAAATAGCAGGGTTGAAAGGAAGCATGGACATCTTTTGTCTACTGCTAGGGCACTGAGGTTTCAGGCCAACTTACCAGAATATTTTTGGGGAGAGTGTGTGTTACATGCAGCCTACATTATAAATAGACTGCCCTCTAATGCTATAAATAATCAGATACCGTATCAAGTCCTCCTCCATAAGACACCACAGTACCATCACTTGAAAATTTTTGGTTGCCTTGCTTATGCTGCCACCTTGGGTCCCAAGTCAAAATTTGATCCAAGAGCTAGAAAGTGTGTTTTTCTTGGATACACTAATGGTACTAAAGGTTACAAATTGTATGATCTTCATTCCAAGCATGTGTTTATGTCTAGAGATGTGTCCTTTTATGAGCACATCTTCCCCTTTCAGCTTGTTGATAATCCTGAGAAGAGCAAGTTTTCTGATATCATTCTTCCTGCCCTGACTGACAACACAGTTTCTGATGAGCCACAAATCTGTTATCAGTCTGATAGAAGTCCTGAGCATACCTCTGAACAGAATCACAACCATCACCATTCTGAGCACACAGTTTCTGTTGAAGAATCAAACCATGCTCCACCTGAACAAACATTCAGTCCTTCTCCCCAAAGGCCACAACAACAACCTGCCAGAAAGTCCACTAGACATAAGCAGGTTCCTGTCTACTTGAAGGACTATGTTTGTCACACTTCTGAGGTAAGAACATCTCCTCATGATATCTCCACAGTTGTAGGCTATGATAAACTCTCTCCATCCTTTCAGTCCTTTATCATGAATGTGTCATGCACTACTGAACCTAAATCCTACAAGGAGGCAACAAAACATGAGTGTTGGAGAAAAGCTATGCAGGAAGAAATTGATGCTTTGCAAAAGAATTAGACTTGGATTCTAGTTGATCTGCCACCATCTAAGAAGCCTATTGGATGTAGATGGGTGTACAAAATCAAGTGCAAGGCTGATGGAACCATTGACAGATACAAAGCAAGGCTTGTGGCTAAGGGATACACCCAAACTCTTGGCATTGACTATCTTGACACTTTCAGTCCAGTGGCCAAGATGACCACTATCAGGACTCTCTTAGCTATAGCAGCTGCAAAGGGTTGGCATCTTCATCAAATGGATGTGAATAATGCCTTCCTTAATGGGGATTTGGAAGAAGATGTGTACATGGAACTCCCTCTTGGAGTTGCAGGACAAAAGGATGGCCAAGTCTGTAAGTTAAACAAATCCTTGTATGGTCTAAAACAGGCTAGCAGACAATGGAACACCAAGTTATGTGTTGCTTTGCAGAAAATGGGGTTTAAGCAATCAGTTCCAGATAATTCCTTGTTTACCAAAGGTAAAGGCTCATCCTTTGTGGCACTATTGGTTTATGTTGATGACATAGTGGTGGCCAGCAGTGATTTGAATCTAATTAAACAAATCAAGGTGCAGCTTAATGACAGTTTTCAGATCAAGGATCTAGGATCCTTAAAATACTTTTTGGGTTTGGAGATAGCAAGGCAAAAGAAAGGAGTTGCAGTGTCACAAAGGAAGTATGCTCTTGAACTATTAGAGGAAACAGGTTTCAGTGACTCTAAACCTGTTTACAGCCCCACAGTTCCTTCTCATAAACTCAGCAAAAATGAGGGAGATCTACTTGATGACACTACTCCATACAGAAGGCTAGTTGGCAAGCTCTTGTATCTTACCATCACAAGACCTGACATCAGTTTTGCCACACAACAACTGGCTCAATTTCTAGACAGTCCCACTAATCTACATCTACAGGCAGCTCATAGGGTATTGAGATACATCAAGGGTGCCCCTGGACAAGGATTGTTCTTTCCAGCTTCATCTGACTTGCAGTTGAAGGCTTTCTCTGATGCAGATTGGGGAGCTTGTGTTGATTCCAGGAAGTCAGTAACAGGTTTCTGTGTTTTCCTGGGAGAGGCTTTGATTTCATGGAAATCTAAGAAGCAAGCCACCATTTCTAAGTCCTCTTCAGAGGCAGAATATAGAGCTCTGGCTTCTACTACATGTGAAGTGCAATGGTTGCTTTATTTGCTTGCTGAGTTTGGAGTGCACCCTGCCATTCCTACAGCTATCTACTGTGATAGTAAATCTGCCATAGCAATAACTGAGAATCCGGTGTTCCACGAGCGTACGAAGCACATTGAAATTGACTGTCATCTAGTCAGAGAGAAATCTCACAAAGGAGTTATCAAACTCTTCCATGTTAGCTCTGCAAATCAATTGGCAGACATCCTCACCAAGGCTCACTGTCCCAGCACCTTCTACAGCTATGTTTCCAAGCTTGGATTGCTCAACATATACAATCCATCTTGAGGGGGGCTCTCAGGAGATAAGAATGACAGCTCAACATCAAGTGCAGCAACAGAATGAAGAAGACGCGCTTGGTAGACGTCTTTGGTAGACGACGCCTTTGGTAGACGCGTTTGATAGACGTCTTTGGTAGACACCTTTCGTAGACGCGCTTGGTACGTCTTTAGTAGACGCTTTTGGCAGTTATAACTGCTTCTTTCTTATCTATGTACTCTGTATATAAGCTCATGTTGAGCTTCCTTTTTGACAGTTAATCAATTCCCTTTTTTTCCTCTTTATCTTCCATCCTTCTGCTCCAACTTCACAACACTATGTCCTCCACTTTAGTATGGCTCTTCAAAAACCAAATCAAGAAGCACTAATAAGTAATGAAGATGTCCTTAGTCGATATTGTACTTAAGAAAATACGAATACAATTATCACAAATCAATCTAATAATTAAAAGAGTTAATAATTTAACCTCAACGTTAAAAATATCTTGCACCAAACCAATGATAGATTCAAGTCTGATAATCTCAATGGCCCAACTAATCTCTCTAGAAACCTTTTTCAACATAAGACCCAAATTAAAACTAAAATGCAGGCGTTGGATTCGATTCACAATACCTTATACCCCCAACATCCGAGGATTAATTTAACAACAATAACTAACCACCTCAGATCACAATTATATTAAATGCCTCCCAAAATTTTAATCTTTGAAAGGTAATTAAAAATTGAAGAGCAGAAGCTGCTTTTCCAGCTTAATTCATTGTTACGTTGTTGAGTCAAATTAAAGTCGTCATGCTTTGCTTTCCAAACACCCGATCCACAAGCACTTGTCATACCACTTTTGGCCCGGAGAGATCTGTGTCGATCTCTAGCGAGGATAGATACGATTAATTAATCTATAAACTAATAATTAGTGGTTTAATACACATCATTACCTATAAATGGCATTTTGTAAATAAATTAATGGAGTTTAGCCAATTAAACAATGCCCAAACATTCTAAAAATGCTGCTTGACTGTCAACCAACACCACGTGTCCATTCCACAACTCTCATTTTTTTCAGATATTCTAATGCTCCATTATCCCGAAATAGCATCCTAGAAGCTTCTGTCATCTTTGGTTTAAAATATTAAGGATATTATTAGCAGTATCCCATATTTAATCGCGTGCAATACAGGATTATATTAAGTACCACATTGTCTGTCATGTAATAATTGGTCCGCTCGTGATCTTTTGTCTAGTCTTACGTGTACCAAATACTACTAAACTATAGGGTTTTTTTAACCCCCACCCCCCCCCCCTACTACCACACCCACTCCCCAACACACACATATAAAATTTATGTATTAATATATTATGTTGATTGCATTTAAAGATCTATATATTGTAAAAATCTTTTTTATAATGTCACACTTATCGTGTCAAATAAAATTTTATTATGGGGTATATTTTATTACTAAGGAGAGCAGTCGTCCAAAGAAACATGGAGGAAGAATCGGATTCTAAGATTGTGGTGATGATCAAATTAAAATCTAAACTTTCTCAAAACTTTGACAGAAAAACTCAAATCTTTGCTCTTCTCCACATCAGTCAAAAACTCATAAAAACTAGCTCTCAAAAACTATATCACCATGGATTCCCCTAATGAGGAATCAACCTTTTAATAAAAAGGAATCCTTCTTGTGACGAAGACAACCAGAAAATTGCCTCTTCTTTTGAGGAAAAAAGGCGACCGCCGCTTGCCTTCTTTAGTGGTATCGGTTTCGGTTTTAGGAACCCTAATTATCAGTTATTAATGATGAATAATCGACTATTTGGTTTTGATGTACAAAAATGACAAATTGATATGTTAATTTGAACTGTTTAAAGTTTAATTTAGAGATCTAATTATTTTTCATATAAAGTTCGAGTGTCTATATGACTTTTTTTCTAAGAAAATATCATGAAACTGATTCTTTAATTTTAGATACTTCTAGTCGCTATGACCTAAAAGGTGAGACATCAAATGTAGTATTGGTTTTCTAATATGCCAAAACAAATAATCATTTTTAAATCAATTATTATTATGGCATGATGTTTGAGTTGAGTTACGTAAGTGCTACTACCTACATACATGCATGAGAACTAAGATGGGGATGTTTGTCCTTTAATTTAATTTGAGATCTTGGTACGGTTCCCTAAGATTACGACGTAACACTTGGTGAATCCTAAATGGCTAAGGATGAGCCAAGCGCACCACGTGGTAACAATTGGAAGATTCTCTTGGATGGTGGGAACAGGAAAGAATGATTTCGCAATAAAGGTTGAAAGAACCGAGTGATGACTAAGTTCTGTGTTTAACGTTTATTTTAATTTTTAACGTTAGTGAAAGCAAGTTCAGTTGGTTCATGTATGGAAAGGGACATTATTGAATAGACTATATATCTAGCCGGTGAGGATGGATATAAATAGAAGGCTAAGGCTTGTGAAAATTCTGTCCCTAAGAAAGGAGACAGCATATTAGCTAGAGCAGTAATAATCAAGATATTTAAGTTGAGAGTGCAAAGTGATTAACAAGAACGGCAACAATGGTGGGAGCTGGTGCGAAAGCAGGGTGGAGGAAAGGGCCATGGACGCCCGAGGAAGACAAGCTTCTTGGCGATTATGTTAGCTTGCATGGTGAAGGAAGATGGAGCTGTGTGGCTAGATGTGCAGGTACATATATTTTCAGTTTTTGGTAGATCACGAGGTGTTCTGTAGCCTAATCTTTGACTATATCAGACATCTTTAAGCATGTACCATCTGTACCAGGCTGACCCAAATTAAGGGACAAAATACTGGTCATATTGGTTTTTTTCATACAATTCTCGTTTTGCATGGACCAGCCCAACTAAGGGGCTGGACAAAGTGGTAGTCATATTAGTTTTTCCATACAATACTCGTTTGCAGTGGACCAATCCTATTAAGGGGCAAACTGCTTGTCATATTAGTTTTTCCATAAAAGATGAGAGGTAAGAGGCAAATAATGCTGATCATATTGCTTTTCCCATATACGAGATAAGGAGTTTTTTTTTTAACTCCTGACTTCTTTTAATTAGGCTGAAATGAGAATGCACGGTCATTCACGTCAACTAAGCTTGTTATATTTTCATTTATTTTGCATGTATATATGATTGAGTTTAGTTAAGTTGTAACATTTTGGGATGCAGGTTTGAATAGGAATGGGAAGAGTTGTAGGCTAAGGTGGGTGAACTACTTGAGGCCAGGGCTAAAGAGAGGCCATATAACACCACAGGAGGAAGGCATCATTATTGAATTGCATGCTTTATGGGGTAACAAGTAATGCATCTTTCATTTCTCTATCTGGAATATATATAATATTTATTATCTATCATAATCTGTACGTTTTTAGGTGATAATTATTATTTTTAAAAAAAATGAATGTAGATGGTCAACTATAGCAAGATACTTGCCAGGAAGAACAGACAATGAGATAAAGAACTACTGGAGAACTCATTTCAAGAAGAAACCTGCAACTGGGAAGACTGGCAGCGAAAAGCAAGATAGGAGAAAGAAGCTCAGAAAGATAAATGAAGAGCAAGAAAACGACACCAAACCACAAGAGACGATGACTAATGATTCTTCGTGCATCACCGCCGCCACCGCAGCACCGATGGACTGCGTCTGCGTGGAAGATAATAACCACCTGGGCGGCACGTCAGCCAACACTACTACTACGTTGTATCATCAAAACATAGACGACATTGAATCCTGGGTAGACAGCTTTGCCATGGATGGTTTGTGGGGAGGGGAATTATGGAACCTAGACGATGACTACTGTTTGCATGATCCTGCAGTGATTCAAAATCCTTGTGGTTATGGAACTGATCATGCCGTTAACCTCTGGAATGGAGGCTTTATTTTCTGAGAAATTCAATAATTACATACGTACTAGATTTGGTTTAATTTTGTTTTATTTGAGTAAATTATTCCGTATGCATGAATGCATGCATGTCTTGTATTATTAAATCTTGTAGTTATGATCGAGTTCTTTTTAAGAATAAATACTTTAATAATCAACTCCAATTTTTATATATCCAGTTACTTAATTATTATTGTGGATTTCTTAATGATAGTCCTTTAATTTAAAGAATGAAGGTCTCCATGACTCCATCCATTTTCGGAAATGGACTTATTAAGAAATTGTTGGAATTTTTAGCAAAAAATGGCATTTTGAGTGATTATTTTGAGGTACAAATATATGTGGATCCACTTTCGATTTGGGTCGGGTCAAAGTGGATTCGGGTTCCTCGTAGTGAGACGAAGAATTTGATATAATGTACGCTCAAAATGGTTAATAGGTGAATGAGAAATTGATTCTCAAAGTGAATCTATTTGAGATAAGCCGACAACTTAAACCTATTGTTTAGTGGCTAATTAAAATTAGCACTAATCTTGGTGCTAATTACTTAGCATTCACGAAGGAATGCTTGTAATTTAGCATTGGAAAAGGTTAAGTTGCAACATAGTAATTAAGCTTTTGAAAGCTTGATTAGTGAATTGGGAAAATGAACTTTCGTGCTATGCTTTAGGCATGGACGAAAGTTGTGCATGAATTGAGCTTAAGCTTTGGATTCCAAAGTAGCTCGTTTCGTGCTGTGGATTCGGTGTGCACGAATCAAATGTTATATGCATTGATTCGTGCTGCACCGTTTCGGTGCTTGCGGACCACTCGGGTGTGGTTTCCGGTCCCAATTCATTAAACCTTCGGGTTTGTACGGACTTCTCAGTTACTCAGATATTTTGAAACGGATCGTTATGGTCGGTACGAATTAATCGCGTATTAAGTTCGTGACCGTTGATATCATTTCGATGATAAGTATGACCGTTTCAAACGTTTTAATTCAATTTTTAAATTGGATTAATGGTGGTTTATGTGCCATGAATATGTTATTTATTCATTTTTCCCCTACAAATAGCTATGGTGGTGGCAGAATGTTTACACACAACATTCAAGATTGAAACTCTCAAAACCTTTGCATTTTCTCTCTACTCTCATCTCATGTTTTGAAAAGAAATTCTGCCAACATCTTCCATAAAACATCGGAGTGCTCAACTTGTGTTCTAGTTCGCCGGGCTTTGGGTTGGAGTGCTCGAACGCCAAAGTCGTAGTCCGTTTTATCCTGGGAGACTGACGCCACAACGATCCTAGCACCCTCGGGAGGTGGCGAACCGGTTTTAAGGAGAGTGTGTGTACACACGACTCGGGCTTCCTCTGCTTTTTCTTTCTTCGCGTTGGGTTAAAACCTCAGGTTAGAAACCCGTCTCTTGTTTTTTTTTTTTTTTGTTCTTGGTTTCGGACCAAGTGGTGGGATTAATCTCGGAAAGATTAAATCCTTGTACTAGTTTCGTACTAGTTGTGGTGGGATTAATTTCGTAGAGATTAAGTCCCGTGTACTAGTTTCGTACTAGTTGTAGTGGGATTATTTTGATAAAATAAATCCCTAGTTGGTTAATATATACACGCTGTATATATATGTAATTTTGGTTTCGTACCAAAATTGGTTGGAATTAATTTTCTATAAATTAAATTCCTTTTTTTCGGGACAAATATATATGTTATATATATTTTGTGTATCGATTTATTCACCAATATCCAACAATGTTAAAACCGATTAATTTTTGGTGAATAAAGTCGATGGATTCCACGAGTGGTGGAACCGTGAATGTTGCTCGTGGTGCACATTCGATTGGTCGATCGGCAACGTAGTTGCACAATCCGAAACCCCGGTGAACTTTGGTTCGGAGACCGGTGGTGACATTAAAGGGTATATCCCTATGATGAAGGTACATGGGACGGTACCTTGTGGTTTGGTCGAAAGACCGTGGAAATTCAAGGAGTTGAATTTCGAAGGGTTGCAACTTAAAATGTTGTACAACCTAATGATTCTCGGCATGTCATGGTTCTTGACCGAGATGGTTCCTAGTGGAAAGGAACACGAGTCTAACGCTAAACCTGTTAGCATAGTACGGATTTGGAAATATTTGGTTTTCCTATGCCTAAACTATGTTTTGAACGGTTTGTGTGACTCGTTGTGGGAATCTTTGGACCTAAAGTATAATAGTGATGACGCTAAGGCAAAAATGTTTGTCGTTAGCCGATTATTTGAATACAAGATGGTAGATTCCGGGATCGTCCTAAGTCAAGTTGACGAAGGAATGATCGTGAGTGAAGCCTTTCAAGTGGAATCTGGTATCCATTTGTTGGCTTTGGGCAGAAAGGACTTCAAGAAGCATTCCACGGAAAATGCTTGAATGGCTTAACGGCCATAGTGGTATGTAACAAACGTGTTGCATGGTTGAAATCTCGTAAAGGACTTCGGTTCTAGATTTCAAGTATAGTCAATTTGTCAAAATTGGGATGGCTATATAATCGTGAGCGTCAAAGCTTAAGTGTATTGAATATTTTAAATAATATTCTTAATACGATTATATAAGCTTGATTCAACTAGTTGGGAAAATTTGGTTGATATAATCTTGTTAATTATGTGGAAATTAACTTGATTAAAGATACCAAATTGTACTAGTATGAAATTAATTTGTGACAAATGACAGAAGTGTTGGGACAAAAAAATAAATCTTGAACCACCTAACTTGCGAGTAATGGTGTAATGATTTATAAAGTTGTCACTATTGTGGATTAAGACAAGGTTTTGTCTAATTTTTGGAATGAAGGCAAGGGTTAATTACTAATTGGGCTGTAAGCTCGGTGTAATAATCGTAATTAATAAAATATTATTAATTGGTCTTGCTTGGTTGACTCTTCGTGTTTGTGGCACGGTAGACAAGGTCATGGTAATTTTGAATCTATACGTAGATTAATTAGCATGGACCATATTCCAAATTTTATGATAAGCACAAATATGATATTTGTGATGTGGCAAAACCATCGAGAAGTGAAGCGCACATCTCGGGTCTGAGAAGTGCTAGAAGCACCTCTAGGCCATGTGATCGAGAAGTAAACGTACATTTCGGTCATAGGCGAGTTATCGAGAAGTGGAGGTACGTAACCTTCGGGTGACATCTTGGATGTACTTCTCAGAGTATCAACGATAGCACTCGATAGTGCAAAGTGAATTTTGCTTGAGAGCAAAAACGATGTCGTATTCTTTATAAGAATAAAGTGGAAAACCAACTTAATCGTAGAATTAAGGCGGTTAGAAACGATTGATGTAGTGAATATGAAACACCTATTGGTGATTCTGCGTAAGCGTTGGTATCGTACTCGAGCATACGACACAGTATTCACCTCAATCGAACGTTGTTGCCGAACATAAATATCAAGACGTTGATAAGTTCGGGTCTACTTCAAAGTGTGTGGGGTGAAATAAAAGACTTTGGACAAGTAAGTACCTTTTAAATAAGGTTACCCGCACGAAACTCGATAAGGCTTCTTATGGGTTATAGGTACGTAGGAAGCTTTCCTACCAATACCTGAAATGTGGGAGTGTCTTGCCAAAGGCGTTGGTTCTTAGTACACAAGTCCTATGTTCTGGACGTACATAAGAACACGATAAATTGAATCAAGAAATTCATCACTCTTTGAGAATGTATTTCTGCGAAGGTTCAATGAATGAACCTAGCACGTTGAAATGAACGTTCGGCGTAGCTATGGTTGGAGGGTATGAAAGAGAACCCGAGCTCGAAGCTAGACGTAGCAAGAGAGCTAGGATTGAAAAATCCTTTGGTCCATATTTTCTGACGTACATGTTAGAATGTGATGTGCATATTCTAACTTGTTTACTAGAAAATGAACCAGATTTTCTGACATGGTTGTTAGAAAATGAGCCTCGAACATATGTAGAAGTGGTGACTTCTATAGATGGACCAACACGAGAGAGGCTACCGAGGTGAAGTAGATTCTATCTTAAAGAATCATACTTGAAACTGGTTGTTCTTCCTCCGGGTTGTAAAACCTCTGGATCTTAGTGGATCATGTGTCGGAAGATAAAAACTGGTTGGTTATATTGAAGTAAATGGCCGGGCGTGTAATTGTAGATTACATGCAACGCGAGAGCCACGGTTACTTCGATATATATTCTCTTGTGATGAGAATGAAATCCATTAGAATGATACTTGCCATAGCTGATGGAAGTTCATCAAATGGATGTGGAAAAACACTTTCTTTATAGACATGGAACGACCTGAGGGTTTTGTGGTTCCGCGCTATAGAAAGAAAGTGTGTGATTGGTGAAATCGTTGTATGGTTTAAAACAATTGCCTAAGGATTGGCACGTGAAGTTTGATCATGCAATGATAACCAATGAGTTTAGTATAAACGAAAATGAAAAGTGTGTCTACGTAATGAATACGATAGACGGTGATATCATTAATTGTTTATACACGATAAACTCATCGTGGGTAGTAACGATCAAAGGATCAATTCTACCAGGAGCATGTTAAATTTGAGATTTGACATGAGAGGTGTGAGTTTGGCAGATTTAATCTTCGAGATTAAAATCGTGAGAAGACCGTACGGTCTCGTGTTAAGCCAATCTCATTGTGTTGATTGAATCCTTGCAAAGGATGATAATCAAGTGGCTTGGACACCGTTAGATACTAACGTACAACTAGCCAATAATCACGGAGATTGTATTTCTCATGGAGAATAAATTCAGATTATTGGTAGTTTAATTGTATCAAATGGGTGGTATTACGCTGGATATTGCCTTGCGGTTGACAAACTCGATAGACATACGAGTAACCCTAGTGATACGCACTAGAAGGCAATAGTGGAAGTTATGAGATACTTAAGGTATGCTCGTGACTTTGGACTGCACTTCGTGGGATATCTAGCTGTATTTAGAAAATATAGCACGTTAAAAGATATCAAAGGACGTTAAATTCATTGAAGGCTACGTGTTTACGTAGGCCAGTGCAGTTGGTTGTAAGGAAATTCTCGAAACGATTTGTGATAGCTAAGATCCATGACGGGATCAAAGCTGAGAGCCTTACACTCGTGTCGCGAGCGAGTAGGCCGAATGGCTATGCCAATTTTCGGGAATGTTCCTAGAGATAAACTCGTACCTCCAATTT